GATTTCCCCCATTAGCTACGCAAATCAGACTGTACATGTAGGAGGCAAATACTTAGGTACACACTATTTTACTGTACCACTTGTTTATTTATCATTCTACCGAGTAACCATACTGACGGCAGTTGCTTCACTACTCCTATATCGTTTTCGTTCAAATATGCATGCTCAGGATTTAAAGCTGTCATTTATGTTCACGTTAAAATGGTCAAGAAATCACCGACAGTTAGTATTGGACACTTATTCTCATGCCTGCGAAAGTGGCTGTTAGCCTGACCTACAAACGAAATCCATATACGTTTCCAGTTTTTGTGCTGTTGTTCATGAGGGTTAATATGCCCCTATCCAGTTTGTGGCAGTTCATACTTAAGTTTGGACAGGCACCTGTGCATTGGTCACGGATGACGTCACTCCATGTATATATGTATAACGAATGGATTCTGTGAAAATGCAGCCAATTTAATGCAGGGAAATGCACTCGGGCAAACCGAAAATAACATTACCAGGATATGCACAAAGTGAGGTTATCACGTACTACTGTTGAGTTCGGGTGTTGAGGTTCAAAGGTAGAGTTGTTCGGTGCGAATTCCGTGGGCTGACCAAGAGGGCTGTCGCCTAGGTGCAAGAGAAGGCACTATTGCACGCGGAGGAGAAGCGCGATGTGTACGCTCTCAATAGACTAATAATCTAGGCCAATAAAGTGGTGTATGTGGTATGTTTGCCTGCGTGATGTGTATTCTTGCATTCCAGATGTTGTTTGAGCTCCCCGGTGTGGCTGAGCCTGATGTGAATGTTGACAAGGTACCTACCTGTCTAATATCCTGCACTTTGATTGCTGGCTCCAGGAGACTGTTGGCTGTTGTTGGATGGGACGAAGTGCACCGTTCTTGTGACTTTGCTAGGTTCAAAGAGTAGTTCCGTCCAGTGTGTAACAGGCTACGGCGCAGCCAATGCGTTTTGTACGTCTGGTGTGCATGATTTCCCAATTAGGCCGGAATGCTTCTGCTCTGTTTGTTGAAGGAGTGTGGGCCGGCTCCGTTGATGTAACGTTGCTCCCAACCGCAGGCTTCCCGGTCTTATTCCTTTTGGTTGACACCGGATATGGGGTGTGTGGGTGGTGCAGCGTAAGCCACCCATAATGCCTCTGTAGGCGCAGGCGTGCTGTGGTTGTTCCTGTGGAGGCCACAGTGACAGGTAAATCTGGATCCGGATGTCGCAAATATATATATATATATATATAATTCTCATTTTAACTAAGTCGTTTCACGAACTAAACGGAATGTTGTTTATTTTAAGCAGAAATTCAGCTTTTTGTTGCCATGGTTTAACGAGTAAGGCGGTTCATGACAGTTAATTATTGACAAGGCGTAGGCGCCTTAACCCTCTGTGTTTGTTTAGGGTATTAAGGTTTCACGGTAAGTACTTCTCCTATCCATGCTATTTTTCTTCGGTCCGTATGTGCTGGGGATTGTATGGCAGCAAAGCATCATTTCAAATGGATGCACTGCCGTTGACGATGATGATGGTGGTGACGGTGGCGCCTGTTTGGCAACGGTGACTGTTTGCTCAATTTATAATCCTTTCTTTTGGTCGGTTTCCAAACAAGGTCCTCATTCTCCACACCATTTCAATACCAAGTTACTGTAATACAATGCTTCACCAGGGCGAAGCAAGGGATAGCGGTTTTATTTAGCGACGACGCATCCACTTCGTCACGGTGTTGTTAAACAGAGATGTGTTACTTTTTATATATAGCACACTTGTCAGGTGAAAAGTTACCACGTCTTGGAACACCTTCGCCAAATTATTTATTGGGACGAGTTAAACTTACTTATCTGGCACCAGGTGTGGGTCTTTCGTCGTCTGTCTGTTTGCTGACAGTAAAATCAATGAAGGCCTCTGAACAATCTACTGCATTTAGAAATCAGTTTTATCGACCTCCCAATATATGTGTTATCTTTTAGACCCCAGGAAAATTAAAAGTGAGTCGTCGAGCCGGTGCGGTAGGATATTTTCAGTCACAAAGTAAGAAGTCAGATCACGAGGTGCTGACCGTTTTTTCAGTCCAAGGGCGTAAAAGGATAGCTTTCGTATCTCGTAAAACATTTTGGCGACATGCGTGGATTAATATTGGTTTTTGGATGAAAAGACTTCCAAATATTTGGGTATAAGTTTGGTACAACTTGTGCAGTAATATTTGTCAAAATCTCACCTAACGATTGTTGTACCTATTATTATTATTATTAACCACGGGTGGCCGTATTACTTTAATTGGACATTTGTTTAAATCTGCATATGTTATTGTTCCTGGTTTTTTAATTTTTTGATACCTTAATCCTGCCAATTAGTTTACTACCTGTTTTGGATCCATTGTAAAAAGTGTGAACAAATTGATTATTTTTTGCGATCCTGTTGTACACATTGATCAGACCACATAGTTGGACTGCACCTCGAATCGCCGATTAATATACCATTTATTTTGTTTCTTCTACCACTTTTACTAATATGTGCGCCTCTGTGTCGCTTTCTTCGTTCATCGTTGTCCTTTGCAACTTTACTTCTCAGCAGCGTCATTCACGCTTACGTTAGCACTGTTTTACTGTATTTTGTATTCACGTAACTATCTTGATATCCCACGCGAAAAACCTTATTTATTTACGATATTTTTCCATTCAACTTCGCCGGTTTCTGTTACGCAGTTCTAATATACAGAAAGTGCTAAACATGTATCAGAATATGTTACCTACAAAGGACCTATTGGTTATAACTTTGTTAGAAACTGATTCGCGGATAAGACATTAGGAATAAGTGGTAGCGAATAAGCTCGTTTTCATGTTTTCCTCATCGGGCGGTTACAATCACAACTAAGGAGACTAAAACGGGCATGGGCGATCTAAACGCAGCGAGTCACGGAATCGAGATATTTAGTCGATACTACTACCTGATTAGCCTGACCAATGTGAGCTCGGTGGAGGCGGAATGGTCACCATTGCAAGTCATGTTGGCCTGTGACTAAGATAAATCAAGAGCTTGCGCGAATGCTTTCTGTGCACACAACTTCGAGTTATGGGGCGAAATTGTAATCGTCTCTGCTGTCCACAACAGCGACTTCTGAGCGCTCTTGTGTGGCGTCAGTATAGACAGTAGATTAGCTAGAATTCATCATACGGATTGATTTGCTAGTTAAGGTCTGCTGCTTTCGATAACACTGCATCGACACATGCTTCCTCACATCGCTGTAGATCGAAACTCAGCAATGCTTTCGAGCTCTTACGGACAGTCGCCTAGCTCGACACGAGCCAGAACCATGTGCACGTAGGTATTCTGTCATTGAGCTGCTATTATACGATTGGTGTTAAGATGAGTTTTGCATACAGATCGGCCACAGAGTACGTCTTCACTGTGGCTATAGAAAGCCTTTCGGTGATCCATTCCGCTATCTGGCCACCATTATAGAATCACGATAAATCTATTAACCGCTTCTATACGGAAACACTTTTCAACCCTAAAGGTTCGTGGATATCCATTACACTGGAGCACGTTTCAAGGTAAACACAGCTCATCTGTGCACGTATCATCCTCGTTCTCTCCGTTAGGAAACGGACGAGCTTTCTTTTCTGACTTCTTGAAACGAAACTAACACAATTAATATACCGCCGGTTCCTACATTCCTCTCTAGTCTTCCGCATCGACCCGTTTAATGCTCTCAAAATGGCAAGGAGTCATGCGCACTGGTTCGATAGTAAACGCTGTGTTACTATGTGCGGAGTTGAAGTGAGCCAGCAAATCACCGATGCACACTCCATTGTTCGCAACACAAAATATTTCGTCTACATTTCAAACATAATACGCTATGCTTTTGGTGAATTCGTGCAGCTGCTTGTTCTCTAATTCGCTGTAGCGGCGAACCCATGGTCACCCCGACTATTTATCGGTATAGTCTGATTTCTTCTGTCTTACCAACCGATTGCAGTTTTCCATTTTCCGCGTGTGACTGCGATGTCTCAATATATTCGCTTGAGGCAGTCGTATGTCGGCAGCCCAACCCCGATCGATCGCGATTACACCCACTCACATGATCAGTCGACATGATGGTGCTTTCTGGTCGGTGATATTTTCCATTGACATCTGTCTTTCTACATCAATCCTGTAACCACTATTTTTGTTTCGTTGAACATTTCGCCTTTTCCACTGGGCAGGTTTACCCACAATTCAGTCTTATGTTTGTCTGCCCTATTTTACACCATTAAATAGTTTACTTTGGCCGTTTTTTTTGCTTTTTGCATCCTATTAATGGGCTCGTTCATAGATTCGCTTGGCCCCGCTTACGTGTTCTCCCCATTCCATCCTTACTGGATGCCTGTTTCTTGAGAGTTCTCAATCGATTTGAGTATTGAATCATAACAAGAGACCAACGTACTGTCGCGTAATTTCACATTAGCAAACTGGACCTACGTTCAGTACGCTTTTCACTCGAATGATTCGCTCGTTGTGCGCAAAACATGATCATTATGCACCTAGCATTTCGACGTGGCTAACTGTTGCATACTGTCTCACACGAAGTCTGTTTTCGCGAAGCACACACGCATGTAAAAGTTGTTTGATGTCAATGCCACTGTTTATTAGCCGACAAGCTTATTTCTGTTCACTGTTTTCCTTCGGGGGGCTTCCAAGGTTCGGTGTACTAAAACAGCTCATCCTCGCGGTTATTCTTATTCGATTGCATCATTGAATTTTCGTTCTTATCCTTGCTGGCGTTCGCTCTGCACTTAACCACCCAGCGTTTTTAGATGTACTTCAAATAACGCAAATTTTTTCTACTTCTGATTCGTTTGTCGTATTACTCCTATCATATCGATTCTCCAGTGGTTTGAATGAGCGCCCTGTTGTTTACGGCCTTTTCCTCCACTTGTTACACTCTGAGCATCTTTCCACTCGAAGCGAACTTACTTGTCCGTCGTTTCGCTACTCTACTCTGTTTCCAACGTTCACCTCTCTTCCAGCTGACTCGGGGTTCACCCATCAAAGCATTCATCGGGCTGTTCTCTACACCCAACGGATGGCGGTGGACTTCATCGTATCATTCGCTTCCCGCCACCTACTGGAGTACAGGTCAACCAAATTCGAGCGACAAGTGTGTCTACATCGATACAAGTATGGTCACTGGTAATTTCTCCGTATTGTGTTCGGTGTGCGAGTTATGTTCGCCAACGACCTTGCCTGAATTGTCCTTATTTTTGGCGTACAGGAAACATCATTGTGTATGCTGCGCTTATATTAATACCGTCAACCCTGGCTGTCTGTCGCAACATATCAATTGTAAAACTGCTTCCGGCCTCTTCTTTTTCATCTCTTTTTGCCTTCCCACTGCTCCTGATAGTTCGCTGGCTCTGTGTATATGGAAACTATTTCAGTTGGATCACCATTTTCGGCCCACCAGTACATCCAAAAAATGGCAACGTAAGCGTCTAGCATTGCTTCTTTTGATTCGAACAGTAAGAAGACGCGTGCAGCAAGTGGACACCATTTCGTGCCCTCTGTTCACTTGCAAACGAGCAACATATCAAACGAAAATCTGACAACATCTCATTTTGTTGAAATATATATGTATGTATATATATAGGCATCAGTCTATACATAAACACCGTACTACTGAAAAACCATAAGAAACAGAAGTTAAAAAGTATAAAGTTCAGAAAAAGTGGACAAATTTTCGTTTTTTCCACATGCAATTTTGTTCTTTTTTGACTTTTCCGATTGATGTAGCTCTTATCACATTGTTCAAAACATTTAAATATGCAGTTCTTTCATTGATTCCGGTTTCGCGCCATGTCAGCAAGTGTGTTTACCCATTGGTGATCCTCATCCTCGGGTCCGCCAACAAGGAAAACTTACAGGGTCGACGATGGCGAAACATAAGATCAGCGATTTCGTGCTTTGCTGTCCAATAATTGGCTGACCTCCATGCGTTCTTCTCCAATTCAATCACGTGCGAACAAATAAGCCGGAGCGTGGTAAGCGGTCGTATGACGTGCGAAGGACTTGACCAAACCACCTCAGTGAACGTATTGCAACAAGGTGATTAAATAGGAGGCTAATGTCTCCGTAGACACAACGCCGCAGTTCACCGTTGCGAACCCGGTGGTGCCACCACACCCGGGCTATCCTCTGCAAATTTGTGTTGTCTAAGACCGAAAGTCGACGCATGTCGTCCACACGAACAACAGGAGAAGGATAGGTCCCGACGACGCCACAAATGACTCAAGGTGGTAAATGTCGACCGAGCTTTGGCAATGCTAAGAGATATCACTTTTACAGTTGTGCGATATGCAGAAAAACAGCTTCCGAGGTAGACAAAATTGTCCACCAGCTCTGCGTTCCCTCAATAGTAAGTGAGAGCGCAGACGACTCTCAGTCTTAGAGTAGCACTTTACATTTCGTGTGATAAAAGCGCATGCTATACTTATACACTTCAATCGTCCGAAGGTCCAAAAAGAGCTGTACCCTCTGTGAATCGTCGCCAAGCAAAGCGATATCATCAGCATAATCGAAGTCGGTCGCGCAACTACCAGGAAGAAGTCCAAAACCAAAATTCTGGAAACCTTCCAGAAATCTTAACAGTGCGTCTTCAATTGCAAAGTTGAAGAGGGATAGGGACAAAGGGCACCGTCGCACACCACTAGTGGTGGCGAATGGTGAGGACAGCTTGTTGTGGACACTCACTCTACCTGACAGTTGGAAGTAAAGCGCCCGAATCGTGGAAGTGTACTTTTCGGAGGCTCTATTTCTTAGCAGCATTGCCATAAGGCAGGCCGATCGATTGAGTCAAATTCAGCTCGAATGTCCAGGAAGATGACAATGGTTGGCCTGTGGTAGAGATGGCGGTGTTCAAGGATTTGGCGTGGCGTGAAGACCTGGTCCACACACCGGGGCGAAAGCCAGCTTGTTCTTCGCGGTAAAGTAACTGACGTACCGGGAATAGTCTGCGGAGCAGAATGGATGCCAGCAGTTTGGAAGCAGTCGGCATGAGGCTGATTCCCCTGTAGTTGGCACGTGATGTGCGAATATCTTTCATGCAAATATGAACAATTACTGATTCAGCACAGCAGGATGAAATCTTCTCGTGCCATTTCTTGGAAAACAGCAATGTCAACTGCTTGACAAGTGCTAGGCTGCCAAACTTGAACATCTCCGGATGCAGTTTGTCCGAATCGGGAGACTTGAATCTCCTAAAGTGCCAAATCTCGACGAGGACCTCCTCGTCGTTAGGTTGGTTCAGTTAAATGATCCAGTGTTTGCAATTGGGTGTACTTTGCATACAAGCGGACTATGGAGAGTGATTGAATTGATAGTGAAAGCTTTCGGCCCAACACTCCACGCGTCTTCCCAGGTTAGTGATTCGTGACCGATCCGCTTCACACATAGTCTCGCTGACACCAGACCTTTTGGGGCCGGTGAACCGGATGAGCTGAAAGAGCTTACAGTAATTTCCGAAGAGAGCAGCGCTCTCCATCTCCGAGGTGCGCTGAGATCACAAAGTCGCACGTTTATTACGCAAGCTTTGTTCGAGTTGCCGATTGTCAGGCGCATAAAATTATTAGCTGACTCTGGGTAGGCACATTTCTACGGCGATCAAACAGTTCCAGCGAGCGAGTGAAGATCCAACATTACAAAGGTTATTGGGTGGAACCGCAAAGCGATCGACCAAAGGAAAGCATCGCTTCGTGCAAACAAGCCCAATGTTGCTCAACAACCTGGGGTGGACTACATGTGAGAGCATCCGACAGAGCAAATTGATAGCTTATTTAGACAGAGAGGTCAAATTACCCGTTTATGTCAATCTTACGGTGCAATTATTTCCGGGGTCCACCGAAGTACATTCAGATGTTTGCACAAGCGGATGTAAAGGATGGCTACGGGTGGTGACGTATCAAGAACTCCAAGGGAGTTTGAGCGAAACAATCGGTTGCTTTTGGATGCACAATGTTTAGCGATGCTGGTTTATGGCCACTGGCTCGGCAAACGTAAGGACTCTAGCATTTGTGTTATGATAGATGACAGTAAACGCCGAGTTGGGGTCGACCTGATGACCTGTTTCATCTGGGTGTTTGCGGATCGAGGAGGCAGATATCTTGTTCGTCGACATAAGTCCCTTTTATGGTTGCCTTCTCCTAGTGGTGACACACTGAAAAATGCCTCCCAATCCGCACACACAAGCAACGGTCTGTTTTGACGATGTAACTCTTTCCGCAGTTACAGAGAGCACAAAATTGCACCATTTTGCAGTACTCATCTTCTTATTGTTCTATTCAACTTAATACATGGTACTCAAGGCTTGTTTACCTGGAGTCACCATTCTTACTACTCATTGGCGCTTGGTATGACTTTAGCATATGCTCATTCCGTGCTAGAATTGCTTTACCCAGTTCGCAAGAGCTCGCAAAATTTGTTCTGAAGATCCGATCGGCAGTGATATGAAACGGTGGATATAATCAATACAACAGAAAAATGCGTGCCACATGCGATTCATAGCTCGATATGCAAGCGCCGTAGAGGAAGCGTTGGATTGACGTCCCCAAGCAAAAGCTATTCATCATGCTACCATTTAAATGGGTTTGAAAATTTTGACATCACTTCTGCCAGACAATAAGAAAATGGTATTACGCTGTGGCCGCACTGGTGTTATTGCATCAAGTTGGAAACTTATTCTGTAAATCCAACCTGTACAAGCCACTCCTTCATGTTACTGTCTTTTGTATTCATCTCTTCCATTGTATTTGTAATTGCAATCACCTCAGCCGAACTGTGAGGAGACTCCACTAGGATTTCAGGGACATGGTCACCAACGATTCCAAACTGCTAACCAGCTCTATTGCACAACACATCCTGGACTGTACTGCTTGCCAAAATCTTCGTGATTCGTTATTAACACACAGAGCAATGCCCGTCTGCTTCAGTTTGCCGAAGCTACAGCTATTCGGCGACTGAAGCTCAATTTGTGCAACCCGACTGAACTTATGATCAGCCTCGCCTTACCTTGGTGAGGTTATTGACCATATTTCTTTGAACTAAAGGACCTAGCACACCGCTTCCCCTTTTGTACGCAACGCCATAAATTCACGGAATGTTTGCAAACTACTGACGAGAATACTTAAAATACCTGAATTCAGTGTATTCTGTTACAGTGTTTTTTCTTCTTGCTATTTTGGAATTTGTTAAGCGAAAATCCTGCATGAAAGTTCCACTAACCACAGAGCCGTTTTCAAATAAATTTCTCTTTTTCAACCAACACTCGCAACCGGTCTTGTTATCGCTTGAATTCCTCAGTTAAATGTCGTCCCTGAATGAAACCTCGAAATTGGGATAACGCTTTCTCCGGCTGAATCTATAGTGCTATTCATCGAGGACAATTCGTGTTGATTACCTTCCTCTTTCACATCGCAGTAGTTGGAATTTATCACAGTTATCTTCGATCAGGCGACCATCGACATCCAAGCTAGCTGTGGACTGCTGTAACGTCTTTCTAGAGATCTTTAGCAATACACAGTCCCTTGTCCGAGTTTGGGATTCGGAACTTTGACTCGGAGTCTGTTGTCGCGTCCTTTCATGACGCGAGAGTCTTCCAAGTGTAACTCGGCTGACAATGACCGTTTGAGACTGAGTCTAGTTTGGGGGAATACATTTTATACCATCCGCATCGCTTCACTACTATCGTAGACATGCGGGTCACAGTGAGGTGGTGGAACAGTCCGTCAGGTAGCAACACACAATTTGTACTTTTGATGATGGAGGTGCTCTGTTTAAAGCAAACGACGCCAACCATGTCCTTACTTCTGGTATCCTTCACCTCAGATGCAGATCCCCTCAGAACGTGGAAGTCCGGTTCATGTGGTGAACCACTACCGTTTTTGTGCTCAGCGGTTCCTCCGTTAATCGATTCATCCCCGGCGAACACTTCAAACTATGGTTGCCAAACGAACTTCACTCGCATAAACAACGGGTGTTTTCTTGTAAGTCCCTTTAATCTACTGACTGTCTAGGTCCATTTCATGCAGTTTTTCCCTACTGATGAATTTCGGAAACAATTTACAGTTGGTTCACTCTTTGCGTACACTTTCTCTTTGTCCCACTTCCGATTATGTCCTGCACCATGTTATGATGCTTGGTTTAAAATATGGTGGTTCAGGATTGGACGTCACAACAGCCGTACATGCTGCAAGCAGCAAATTGCCTTGTATCCTTATTCTGTGATTTTGCGAACGGGAGACTGTACTATACCATTCGCAAACAAGACGATGTGTGACAGAAACGATGGTAACCAGGATCAGAAGAATGTTTACGTGACTGCCACTGAATTTACAGCTCCACCGTGTTGGATAGAACACCTAACCACCGATGCAATTGATCTCTCCCAGAAAAGCAGCAGCATCAGCCTCTCAATTAGTCCCGACATACTTTCTCACCATTTACTCTTCTGGTCAAACAGCGGTATCTTTACAGATGTGTGGAGTGCGGGACATAGTTGAGAGTCGTACCAAAGGGGGTCGACTGACAGTCAGATGCTAATGGATCATAGCTCGTTTCTAGCCACGATTCCCAATATGCTTTGTGGCCACTCGGAGGCTGGTTACGTTCAGTGCATATCGCCGTCAGAAATGCTCCTCACTTCATCCCCTTACCTTCAGCTGGTTATACTTCCTCCCAAAACCGATGACCTTTCACCTTCCAATTTCGTCTACACTCTGCTCTTTTCTGCGTTAACTTTCTTCACCGTAACAAATGGGATCAAGCCGAATGGGTCTACCACACTTACCCGTCCGACTTCAACTCGTTTCAATCGACGACTCGCTGGACTCGTGGCCACAATATCTGTTATCGCATTTGTTATCCTACACTACCTCACTTTTACCTTCCCGATCGCCACCCTTGTGTGACTTCCGCGGCTGTTTACTGTCGCCACATTTCGCTTATCAGCTATTAAGTAACATTCTTTCTGATTGATTTCAAATTTTGATGAAAACGGCAGACATCAGAAGTACTCCGGTTCACCTTACTAACGTTTCGTTAACACGCGACCATGACCGGTTGCACGTAGCCTAAATATTCGGCGAGTTCGATAGCATATTAATGTTCATCCATCCTAATTCACACTTCTCTTATCGAGTAGGCTAGATTTCGGCTATGCAAACTCTTGCACAACACTCAACCTTATTTACGTTCACAGAACTGCACTGCCCGCATAATTGTCCGTCCATGTGATTTTGGCACATTTTCCTGTTTGCCATCAACCTTCATTTCCCACACACACACACGCACACGCACACCCTATCTTCTGTATTTCTGCTTGTCAAGGTGAACTCGACAGGTGCGCTAACCTGGGTGGAAGCATCCTCTGCTTGTGCTCAACTTGGATCCAACGTCACGCTGGCCGTAGTGAAGTCTCCCAACGATCAGGGTACGTTTTCTTTCTGCGTGGTAGCAAATGAAACAGACATCGTCGATTTTTACGTGTCAACCTCCTTACAATTTCCGCATCTGTGTAGGCCACGGACCTGTTCGCCTTCGCTTGCACTGTGGCGACCGAAATCTATTATTTCCAATCTCAGAAATGCTTTTTCACTTCACTTGACCTTTGCTTGTTTCGCCTCTTGGTCGTCTGTTCGTTCACATTCGCCTCTGTGTTGATCAATGGAATTGCATCTCGCACGTAACACCAATTCGCTTCGCTGCGACAGTGCGGAACCGCTTTCGATCCATTCGCCCAGCCCACGCATTATTTATCGGCTGTTATGCACAGTATCCACAGAGGCGTCGGCCAACTGTTATATTCACTCCTCTGGGTGAATTTCTACGCACTCAGTGGCTCCTTTTTAGTACTCCGTCTCAATATATGGGGGAATAACAAATAATCTCTGGACATTCCTCTTGTCTCTATCTTCTGATGTTAAGCTCGATCAGTTCTTAGGTACACCATTTTCATGATTCGGCTGTGCGCGTACTTTCAATGTGTCATATGAATCCACTCACACCTCACAAGCTAACGTACGGGGTGTTCCATTGTATTCTTCGCCTACACTTCTTACCAGCCTATTTGCACGCCGGGTCGCTTACGCCGAGTAGGGGTCAGTTGAGTTTATAGCTGTTTAGCCAGTCTTAGCAATATCAACTCAGCGCTTCTCATGGACAGACAAGTGGCTGGGTATCAGTGACGCGTGACGTAGAGGCGGATCGGGCACCCCCCCTGCATTTAGTTTATTTGGGTAGGAGTTATCAATTAAAAGAACTCAACGTATTGTTGTCAAACTTTCATACTTCTACGAGCTCGTTGGTTCACTTCTCCACCAGCAACTATACACTTCTTAAAGTTCAGTTGGTTCTGTTTACCACCCGTGATCCGCATCGCTAAACTTACTAGATCCGTATGCTCAGATCACAGTAATGATTTGTGACGATTGGGGAATGTGACGAGAGAAGGAATCTATTCAAGTACGCATAAAAGCCCGAGGGGAACGGGATGATGGATTTTGCTTGTTAACCGGAAGGGTTAAGAGTTTAATAATTTCGTGATATTCACTTCCTGACTTTGTCATGTCAGTGGAAGTCTACAGCTTTCATCCACGATGGACAGGCAGTGGGCTGCAGTGAAAGTGGGCGAACCATCGGAGGCGGTTGGCGATTAAAAAAGATAATCGAAACTAGTGTCACACAGTTCGTTCTCCAACACTAGCAAGCGGGCCTTCATGTGCCTCAACTAGTTGCCTTAGCAGAAGCAGGCTATCCCCTTTCGCAGACACAGACGGTCAAACTCGCGTTAGATTTGTCTAAGGTCCTCAGCATACAATGGATGTGCGTCTACTCCATGCTGTGGCATCGGCTGTCACATATCATCAGGAACCCTACTGTTCAAATATGAGCTAATATCGTGCCGTCTCCTCAGGTGCCTTGAATTCTGAAATACCACTCGAATCTTAAGATATACATCGCTTAATTGATTGAACCGATCGCTTACTTCTGGTGGCTTCTCGATGGTGACCGCTACTGATTCACACAGGGCATTGCATCAGCCCATCTCTAACCGATTGTGTATATCAGATCGGAAAGACGCAATGATTGCTGTCTCGTCAGTGTTATTTCCGGCGGCCCTCAGGCAGAACCTCTGCTAGCAGACTCAACAAACACAAAAACAATTCACAAGTTACAACACTGTCGTGTTGAACTCAAGTGAAAATATTGCCAAAGGTCCAGACGGTACTCGAGCCCACAGTATAGGGAATTTTTAATGACAAAGACTTTATCCGGCACGACTTTCGAAGATGCAGTCAGAGGCAAGCGTGATCGGTCAAATCAAAAGCAGCCTTCAAATCAACATGGGGACATGACGATGCCAGTGGTATGCATGACTTGATTTCAGTATTTGACGATGCATGGGTTTTCTATGACAGAACTTTTATGCCTTTTACTTATCCTTCTGTGTCTTGCGACTGCAATGATGGGATAGGGACGGGAAGCCCAGTGCAAAATTAACACGATGTGTGATTCGAAATGACCTCTCTACTCAGTCACGAACTGTTGTGATAAGCGTTGCTCACCGCGATTCGATTGCCTAGAGGTAGAGGTTTCCGCTGGCACACGATAGACGGCCTTCGAAGTGTGTCCCATTGGCGCAGGAAGTATGGTTACTTGGATGGAATCATCGATGACGTTTATCTGTTTTGTTTTCTTATCTCTTCTACCTCCATGAACACAGTCCTTTGAATCTTGGCTCTTCGACATCATCACACAGCTTTTGTTTAGATGTGCTATTGTCTACTGGAAACGTCCATGGACGCTCGCCGAATCGCGGTTCTCTCTACGCGATATTCGCCTCTCCCCAACGTTGCGTATAGAACGATGCTATCTGACTCTTAAGCCGTGCCTAAGGCCAGTCTCAAAAATCAATTATGCGCCTTCTGTACCGCGGGCCCATACGTGCAAAATGTACCGGTCTAATTGTATCACATGACGCCGAAACATCCAAGTTTATTGTTTCTCAGCAATCATCACTATTGAGGACGGGCGGGTTACCTCAATAACCATTTGGCCAAGTGGCGTTCAAAATTCAACACTTTAAGACAATCACTCTTCTTCATACCTGCAGAATCAATCGAACGGTGCTCAAACTGCGCATATTCATTTCGTGGATCAATATCTTGAACTTGCTCAATGGCAATGCTAGCAATGAAGAGAGGCAATTTGATATGCTCCGTTGCTTAATACCCCCCATCGACATTGAGCGACTCGCGCTTACCTATATCACCTGTAGCTTTTCATGACCGTATCGAAGTCGTTCAGTTCATCTTCCCATTTCTCAGTTAAGAATTCAGCTTTGGATGCGAACGTATAGCTTCGATGCAGAGATGGGTGCTTCACGAATTAACGGTGCACACTTTGATGTCATTGGCAAAACATACTCATTACTCAACGTGATTGTTACCCACCTCACTACTATATATTGCTACACCCTAGCCTGGCTAGATAGAGCTACATCTTCCTCTCTGTGGAACACTCGCAGTGTATGCCAGGGGCACAAGAAAATAACGGGTCCATTTAATTAGGACCTTCTGCTGCGTTGTTTTTCGATTTAGCCATGGAACATTCGGTCAGTATTCTTTCTCATTCTAAGCTAAATTATCGGGACAGTCTCATTGAGCCATTTGCTCATGTTTGGATGCCTGGGGCATACATACAAAATGGGAGTAACTTTTGAAAAACTCGTACTGGTTCCATATAACCATTTGCTTGGACGTTTTATGTGCTTTGATGTCACTTTTCGCAGTGCACCCCGCATTACACTGGACCATATGGATTCGCGCTGTGACTACTTGCTCTCATAATACAACCCACTTTGTGGTGCACCTCAAAAGTGTATACTTTCAGGTCAAGCAACCCATACTGGAGTTTAAATATAACATAAAACAATTTCGGTGCATTTGTGGAGTGACCTTACTTCCCTTGGTTTTAGTTAAGCAGTTTGGAGCCCATTTTTTCCTCTGCTGAGTTGCTTTCATGCAACGACCAGTATATATTAAATTACAGTCTGAAAAGTGTATGCAAGAGTACGGACCATTGATCCACGCGTATTTGTGCAATAGCTGCCTCGGGGGAAAAAATCTAACTTCGTTATAGTATATTAGTAATGAAACGGACCTCATTTGCGTGCACACTTTGATTGTTTTAGGCCCATTAACTATCTTAACATCCTCGACACCCAGTGCTGCGAACCAGAAGCATGGTAGATCGTTGGCCTTCTCGCCACTGTTGTCGCTGTTGCGATCAGCTTGGGCTTTGGAAATGGCTTATGACCAAATAGACAACTACCCTTTGCACTGTTAAAACTGGAATACTCATTTGTCATTGCGAATTCATAGGGTCATTTTTTGCATCTTTACTCTTCGTGGCGCCACTGATACATTTTCTTCCAGTTTTTTTACCATGGCTGGTTCGCGTCCAGTAGCAGTGGACAATGCTGCAGGGGCGATTCACATCATTGCTACAAACGCTGCTCATTCACCAGTTCCTTTTTATTCACAGGAATGCACAGTCACTTTGTGCACACACAAACTATCGATCCAACACACTACCATTCTGCTACCGACGCCGTGCCCTATCTTCTGCTGTTTGGTCTGCTTTTCACAACACTGAATGCTTTGCTCATTCAAACAGAGAGCTGCCTCACTTCGAAGTTGGAAAACACTTGTTACCCCTTTTACATCATCCCGCCCTTGTGTTTCATGATTTACACACGCCTCCTGATACGCTAAGTTTCTATGACCTTTTTACCGTTTCCGACCGTATTCAGATATCATCAGTGTTTTGCTCGTTTCGATACGCGATCCTCGTATCCAATCAAACCTGCCGGATTGTATGTGGATTAGATCGCTCTAAGCATTACCCACTAGTCTCTTCTAGCAACCGGACCCACTGCGCCTTGATGCTCTTCTTACATTTGGCCAGCTCTACTGATGCTATTATCTCTGTTTTGCTCTTTCTCCCTCTCTGAACGATGGTGTTTCCCCCTACTTGTAGACGTACTCACCGCCCTTCTCGGACTGACATCATCTTCTGTGTGGATCGGTCTACGCCTGGTAGACGGCGTTCATCACTGGGCCAACGGTTTCCCCGTAACCTACACAAATTGGGCGTTGAACCAACCAGAAGCTCAGGGGACGGTAAGGCGCTATTCATCACACGTTTGTTTGATTGTTAGTTTAATCACCTGGTGAGCTTTGACCGCGTACTCCGATATTGTTTAAGACCAGTCTACTTTGAATTCAGCCCCAATCATGTGCGTTGTTGCGATTGTATACGGAACAGGAACTCCTGTTTTTCGTCATATCTAGACCCACTTAGTCGCCACCATCAGGAACGGCGCTTAACTGTCGTTTCTTCTCATTGGAACCTGTCATCGACACATATTCGCATCGCATCCCCCTGGTTTAAGACTCATGGCTGCGCTTAACTTGCATCCAACGGTCTGTGTCACTGAGATTGGGGTAACCGCGGTGACCTACCTGTCTGGGCTCATAACCGTGATAGCGCTCCCCATGCTTTTGGTTTCGCCAAATGTTTCTTTGACTAACCTATCCTTTCTTTCACAGCGATGTGTTTCCGTGGATGGCCGAATGAACCACCTGGGTGAGTGGCGCGATGAAGACTGCTCGCTACGCAAGGGATTCATGTGTCAAGCTCCTCCAAGTGAGTGGAGATCTCATGCTTGCTCATCACCGCTTTGATGTTTTTTTACTCTGTGTGCATTGCCTCTAAGTACATTAAAATCAACCACACCGAAACGGAGCCATTCATTTGTGCTATCGTTGCTCGGCCGGTGGCTGAGTGGTCCGCACCCCTGGTTTGCTACCATAAGGTCACCGGTTCGAATCCGCGTAGGAGCGGACGTCCTCGCGGTATACTCAGTCCGCACGCAACTGCTGGTGGTCGCGCAGCTGCAAAGTGCCGTTACAGGGTACAGCGGACACATTGTTGTTGGTGATCTCACATTTGCAAAACGCGGTCGGAGTTGACCTGGTATTCTTTAATGTGAGAGCTATTGGGACCCATCTGCCTCGACACCTGTTTCTCTCTATCGTTGAAATTCCACATTATATTTTTGAATCGGGGGAACTGTGAAGCCTGAGGTTCGATACACTACATCTGTTCTCTCCAGTCGCGATCGCTTGATTATACATCGGATTACCCCCCGAACCCATCAGAACGCCTTGAAAGTAACACCTGTATTTACTTGTGTTTTTGTGACCACATTTTAAATTGTTTGTATCCTTAATTGGGATCCCTGGTTCAGATTCGCAGCCACTACGATCCGTATTCGAAGCTCAGCCCCTGCATGATTTTGGGAACCTCTACAGTTCACCTGTAGCCTGTCGTGGTACCCATCCGAAAATCTGGACGAAGATTGGACTCGTGAATGGAGTATATTTGATCAGGAGGCAATTTACTATTTATAGGGCAAACTACGCTCCGTTGAGCGATTCCGACTTGTTCTTCCGTGAATGGCTGCCGCTGACATATTCATCGATCGAGCCGATTGGTCGTGTAGGCTTACAAGGCGATTCCCTCTCGCACGTGTGGACGTTGCTGCTTGACTGGCAGCGATCGATCAGCTTTCAGACTGTCGACCCATTTTCGTTCAGATCTCTCGTTCGATAGGCAACCAGCATAATTGATGTGATATTTTGCCATCCCCTAGCCATTTGCGTTTACGACACAGTGCACTGTACTGGTGTACTACTAATGACACCTGTTCCTCTAGTGGACGATATCGTTTAGATGAGCTTCCACACTGGTGATTCTGGCGCTTTGCTAATTCTAGTGGAAGGTGACACGTTGTTGGTCAAGCATGCAATCATCTAATTGGTCAACTCCTTGATCCATTTCCTCTGATAGACTGTCTTTTGCAGTGATAGTTGTAGCCCATTTTAAACCATGTCATCAGGTGCGAGACCAAGATCATCCGACGCGTCTACCTGAGCCATCATACCTCCTTGCTTATTTGTGGCTACTTTAAGGAAGATCCACCGCAAGGATAGCAAACCATCCACCGTTCCCTCGGAACTCAGTTGGCAAGCGTTTCATCTACTCCCACCTTTTTACTCCCGCACACATTCTGCCACAGTCAGCCACTCGCACATATATGCTCCCGGTGTCGAAACATCATCAACTAGCAATCCACCGGTTGATTGTATACTTACGTCGTTGTGGCCAAATACATCCACTTGGTTTTCCACAGTTGCCAATTCTCTGGCAGCGAGTCCTCCGTACAGAGTTCGTCATATCGATCCTTGGCGTCCAGCTAAAACAAAGCTGTTCCTGTGTCACCATGTTGGAGCATCGCCAGAGCTGAAAATCTACCATGTGATCACATAACTGCGTCATTGTGACGAAATCTATCCATCCGCAGTATCCGGCCCCACCACCACCTCTGTATCACACAAATACGGTGGATCTCTCTAAGATCCTGATCAGCCGTTCATCCTCACCTAAATGTTGCATGATATAAGAAGTAACCAACACCTCACTGCACATTACTGAAATGACATTCAAATACCGCAGTGAGCTATCATGATCTTTTTCAAGGAACTCGTATAATATCCATAAAATGCCGCTTCGGCTCAATTTGGAGCGTCTTCGACGGAATGCTCGAATGCGCTGTGTCTGAACCATTCACAACGCACGTAAAGTTGGTCATCCGGCGCTAATGAATCTGAGTCTACCTCAAGTTGCTGAACAGCGCCGACCACTCGCACGGCGGTTATTTGCTGAATCCTGTCAATTGGAACGAATGACAGAAATTTTCTGGTCTTTGTTCTACTTAGCTATATCATAGCACAGCCTTTGGGTAAGTAGAAATATGGTTGCCATCTGTGTTGAGTCGTTAAATTGGCGACAAATTTGGCTTTTACCTCTGCTCACGTAAACATAGCGCATAAAATGTTACGCTTGGTAACTCTGCTATGCCGCATCAAGTATTTTTTTCCTGGCTACTAACCCAGTGAGAATCAGCACCTGAGCTTGCCTGTTCTCCATGGGGGGCATCCACGGGGTCTGATCCGAAGTTTCTGTTCCCCGTATCTGAGTCACAGTTCTTACAGTACCGCGGAATGCCTACAACCGCTCGCGGTGGCATGGAAGTTAACCATAGTTGCGGTGTGCTGGTGTGCTGCTAAAATCCCCTCTTTCCGTTGAAGAAGTGGATGCTGTCCATACTGAACACCGTATTGTGAGAGCAAGTAGAAATTTGAATATGTGCAACTCCATCGAAATATAATCAATACGTTAAAAAAGCAAACTATGACTTGTCAATACGCTGATCCTTTTTCACGTTCTCATGGCTAGCCGAACATTCTCCCCGTGGGGCCAGCTGGATGGTTCGGGTTAATCCTGTTCCAGCAGATGGTTCGGCGGCAGTGTTCCAGGACGTGATGGGATTTCGGCTAGCAAGCGTTCTTTTTATAAAATGCCACTGATGTCCGTTTAGCAACACTGTGACATGACTAATGTGACTCACCACTAGATAAAGTCACTGTCTCTTCCCTTTTTCGGAGGATCATTCACACACCACGAACGTCATCCAATTCGAAGTGTTCCTTTGATCACTTCCTTTGATGGCAAACACACCGAACACTAACACGTACAGAGTTACGTTTACAAACTCATTCAACATGGCTACATACACATACACACTTACACATACTTCTACATGTCAACCTATACACCTAAATTCCTTTGCTACTGCTTACATTGCAACACTTTGTGCAACTGCCGATCACACGTCTCTGGATCACCGTGATCATGCCATTGATGGCGTGCCACGCATTGACCAGAATAAACTATTTGTTTACCTTATTTATTTATTTAACAATGGAGTAGGTTTCAGAAATGCAATATGCCTATAGTTAATATTTCACGGAATCTACTATTCGAGAAATGTACATCCTGTGATCGTTTGAATAGCCGCATTGAGTTCGTTTCCACTATATGTTCCGGCCAACCCTTTCCAGCCGTCTAGCAACTAGACACAGAGCCAACAAAAAGGCATGGAAATCAGCGGATAAGGGAAAGTCTTCGTGCATAGTAGTTAAAGGTGAGCAACACACTTCTGCTAATGTGCCGCAGGAAAAAAATATTTTGACAATAAGTAGAACAAAACCGTTTTAGTTTGTTTTCACGCGCCGATTTTTTTCCTTTTTGTCATTTTCAATGTTTGGTTAAACATGTGAATCAATACAATACTGTACACAAGTCTTCCACTGATTTCGATTGCTGGCCATGTCTTCAAGGTTGCTAAGCCATTGGCACTCCTCATCTTTGGGTCCCCATCCTGGAAGACGTACGGATCCAACAGTGGCTAGACACGGCGTCAGCGATTTCATGTACTGTCGCCATGTGGAAGACTGACCACCACGTGGTCCCGTCCAGCCAGGCCCTTGACGAGCGAATAGGGCACGACGCGGTAGACGCTCAGGTGCCATGCGTAGGACGCGACCGAGCCATCTTAACCGGAACAACAAAACCAGTTTGTTGATGGGAATAGTCGCATTCCCCAAGATGCGACGTCGAACGTCATTACTATTAACTCGATGTTGCCACCAGCCACGAGCAATCCTCCTTAAGCAACCGTTATGGAAGGTAGAAAGACCACGCATGTCTTCCACGTGAATCGGCCAGGACTCGCTTCCATACAACAACCCTGAGCGAACAGATACGCTGTAAACCCGGCCCTTTAGTGAGGATGAGACGTCGCGACGACGTCAAAAGTGCCTCAGATTGACAAATGCTGATAGTGCTGTCAACAGAAACACAGCCCCCAAGGTAGATGAAACTATCTACCTGTTCAAGTTGTCCGCCTTCTAGAGTGAGCACGGGAGGAGGTGAATGCCAATCCTTGAGCGGTACTTTACACTTCGATGGGGCGAAGCTCATGCCATAGTTAGATGCTTCAATCGCCAAACGATCCAGTATGAGTTGCATACCCTGAGGATCGTCACCAAGTAAGGCGATATCATCAGCACAATCTAAGTCAGTCGCGCGCTCACCCGGTAGAAGCTCTAGGCCAAAATGTTGGAAACCTAGATCATTCGCAGAACGTCTTCGATTACGAAGTTGAATAGGAGGAAAGCTTGCCATAGACCCTCACTCTGCCGGATGTATGAAGGTAAAGTGCTCGAAAGATGGCGGTATATTTCTCTGGCACCCCGTTTATTAGCAAGCAACGCCATAAAACAGGTCGATCAACGGAGTCAAATGCGGCACGTATGTCTAGTAATGTAACGATAGTGGTCCTGTGGTAAATGTGACGATATTCGAGGAGCTGGCGGAGCGTGAAGATTTGATCCACGCATCTGCGGCGGACACGGAAAGCAGCTTGTTCTTCACGATAGGATGATTCATGTATTTGGGGATAGTCTACAGAGCAGAATGGATGCCAGTAGTTTGGAGGCAACCGAAATAAGGCTAATGCCGCGATGATTTCCACATGAAGTGCGAGCGCCTTTCTTGAAAATCGGGACAATAACTGATTCGCCCCAAGAGGAAGGCAATTTCTCTTCATGCCAGGTTTTTGCGAACAGCGCGGTTAATGATCGCCATGCCGCCGCACTTGAATAGCTCCGGAGGAAGTCCGTCTAAGCCGGCAGCCTTGACGCGCTTCATGCGTCGAATCTCGAGCAGACTTCCGCTTC